TTTTAGAGTTAGAGTGAAAAATTCAAAGATGTTATATGCGTTATATTTATTTCAACTAAAGTAGTATACAATTTTTTTATTTGTATAAGATTTAACATTTTCAATAATAGCATTGAATATAATAATACAACTTTAGCATTCAACATTCTACTACACTCTAAACAAGAGGAAATCCTCAATAGCCGTGACTGTAATTAAACGTCAACTCGGTCAAGAGATGGAGCTATGAGCTGAACGTCTGTTGAAAAAACCCAACTCTGAGCCATTCTATGAGCCGCTATGCCGCAGCTGAAAACTATAGTGTCTACTACAGTTGCCAGCTTCTAAACCGACACAGTCCGTGCACAGGACCAGCTTTATAACTGTCAATTTAACGTTATTCTTTATTATATACTGGAACGCTTTATAGTTTCATAGTTAGTTTGTTTGCTTTACAAAATATAAAATGTTATTGGTTGGCCTAAATAACATTTCCATAATATTTTATACAGAAGTTCAGATCAGTTAATCTAACTGTTCAGTACATTTTTTGTTGTTGTTGTTTTACAATACTAAGCTACACGTATGTACTCCTGTAACTTATGTGACACAAAACCATTTGAAAGATAGGCGTATACTAATGATTAGCGTGCTCTTACTTCTAATCCGACGATTTATGAATCGCGATCCGTTGCAGAAAAAACCGTACTTCATACTTAGGGGCCGTGGATGCACTACAAGAGTGACAGTGACGTGCAAATCCCACTATACGGTCAGAGAGAGAGATGCAGGCTAAGAGATCACGGTGAGTACTGTTGACTAGCTGCTTTCCCTCTAGTCTATCAATTTAATGCCAAGAATAGCTATGAGGAGATAGCTTATGTATAGCTTTGCGCGAAATTCTGAAACAAAAGTCACTCGCCACAAGATTCCTAGTTCTCCTATCATAATTCAGAGAAGATTTATATCTAAATCCCTTCGATTTCACGATAGATTTCGGTAACTGCTTACAGAAGTTACGATAGTGTTGGGACATTTTAGACTTTTGAAGAAATATCAATGTTTCTAGAGTACTTTATCGACTGCCTCTTTCAGTTATACGAAATATGCATGAAATTATCCTACGTCCAAAAAAATCAAAACGCAGGTTATATATACACGTAGATCTCAAGGGAGATTTGAGTACCTAGATAAATTACCTGTTTAAAAGGGAGGCATTGAATTTTCGAAAACATCTATGCTGACTTCTATGCTAGTTTCACTGAGTGTATTATTAGTTAGGTGGACGTAGAAGGCTTCTTTTATTTCAATTTTTTCTCTTGTACATGCGGTTCATATTCTATTATTTTAGTATTATTCCAGTTCATTGCATGGCGTTTTTATGGCGTCATAGGTTATTGAGATAGATTGGTATTGCTAGGTCTTGTATTTCTATTATGATAATGAATTCTATCTTTTGTTGGTCTTTTGTTTCTCCAATGTATTGGAATTTACAAGGATGTTAAAATGGCGTTTTTCCCCTCTATTGGATCTTTTGGTAATTGGTGTGTACTATCCGCAAGATACCTTTGGTATAGGTGAATATGGCTGAATGTCTGTAATATTTTTCTGTTTATTATTGGTACTTATATTGTTTACTTTCTCCTTTATCAATAAAGTGTTCTGGTTATTCATTGTTAAGGAGAGTTGAAGTGGTGTGTTTTTCCTTCCGAGTTTCTTCGGTATTACAAATCTTTTACAACTATTACAGCTTTCTTTACATTGTTGGAGTGGTTTGATTTATAGTCGATTTATCTAACCGATTCTGTGGGTTTCCTGTAAACTCTTGGAAAATATGAGCTATGTGTGCGTCTTGGTAACCATCACGTCTTGGAATGGGAGGTTGTTATCTTTTCCTATTCCCATTGTGAATTGTATTGCAGAATATTGTCTGCTCAGGTGATTCATGATTTTTGAGCTCTGTGTGTAATGAGTTGTCATACTGTGAATGTATCCCATCATATCTGAACCAAATCTTGTGGAGTAGTTGGGGCTGTTTTGGAGGCATTAACTTCGATACACCTGGCAAGAAAACAATATACAGGACCTAAATTCTTAACTAATTGTAACTGACAAATGATTTTAACCAACAGAGAACAAGATTGTACTATTAACCACTATGCTGGCTTTTTGTTTATGGGCTATACTCAATCTGATGACAGCAAGAGATCATAATGCGAATCGAATCTTCTATTGTAAATGGAAATCCAGTGGAAAGCAATGTGAGATACCGAAGAATGCAATACAGATTCTTACTCCTTTATAACAAGTAACTTTCAAAAGTGGTTCGAACCAATAGAGTAATATGGATTGTTTAGTATTAATTAATGTTAAATATTATTTGTTCTTGAAAATATTGTCTTAGCTGCAATTTACACAATTCAGAAGTGTGGCGAACTTAAAGCCAAGACTTGAACCCAGCACTATTGTAAAAGAGTGATTCAAACGTTAGCTTGAGTATATATATATATTCTGTTTTTACCTATTTGGCCAAGTATTCTTATTCGTCGGTCCATTCTCTTTTAGAAAGTTATTGAATTTCAAGAGCTTTGTTCTGTTTTCTAGATTTTAAGCATACTGACAATCTCATAATTTTTTCCTTACTCATAGAATTGCCTCTGACGTAATTATGTGAAACATAGTAATTCACACATTACATAAGACTAACTTATTGCCTTTGTCTGAAATGATAAATTTACCTTATTATCTATCATATTATTATTTAAGTTTTAAATCGTTTGGACTTCTCTGATAGACCTGATAATTAAGAAGATTCTTGACACGCGTTTGTTTGAGCTGAACAGTAAGCCTAGTACTGTTGATTCTTGTATATATCTTAGCACATGTTATCTGGTAGATAAATAAAAATAGATATTTTATTAAACACACAAAGTACACATTACTGTAAAAAGTTAAACACTATTAAATAACAAATTACACTTGAACTGTCCAGTTATAATTCATTTTATATCTAACAAAACTGATACCACAAGATGCGTTGTTGTTCCTTATCAACCACAGCTATAAGTAGGTTTTGTTTTGGTTGTTGGCGTTCACGCGCTATCCATACAAGCCGTCCAATTTTGAAGTGATAGACTAGAGGGAAGGTATCTAGTCAACACCATCTACCGCTAATCTTGGACTAATTTGATCAGACCGAATAGTCAGATTTGACCGTCACTCCTATAAAGTACCCACAAACTTAAAAGCAATTTCTTATTTATTTTCTAATATGATAATAGGACATGAACCGCGGAATCTCAGTTCCTCAGACCGGCACGTTAACCACTGTCTCCACCCCCACTCACCCCCAAAAATAGGGACATATTTTGGTGAACAATTTGTAACAAAGTATAGATTGTCTTAACGTAAGAAAAGTGAACAATTGATTGTACTCATTTTGTTTTCAAATAGACGTAAGTATTAAAAATAGTAGAACCTAGGACTTGGCGATATTTAAGTATTGTCAAGTGCAAATGTATCACGAAATTAAACTTAAAAGTTCAGTGGATTTTTGCACTCTACTGAATTTATGCAAAACGTGCACTTACCAGCTGAATTGAGACAACTTATAGGTAATTCTAGTGGGGCTGGACATAGTATTTAAAGAGGATATAATAACCACTTCGGATAATATTTTCATACTGTTATGAAGTCGTCATACTTATACTTATAAACCTTATTACAGCTCGTAGTCAGATAACGTTAAACAAGATAAATAGTAAGTTTTTTAAAACAAAATATTCACACAGGTTGACATTAGCAAATAGTTTTTGCATTATATTTATTTGGTTGTGTTTTGTTCTCCCTCTTAGCTGTTTACACTTTTGAATTTGTTGGCTATAAATGTTGTTAGGCCTATAGTAGAACAGATGCTGGTTTGTTCATTAACGTTATTACTATCGTATCCATGACAAGAGAGAAGTGTAACCACTATATATATATAGTTTTTGCTTTAGTCGCCAAGCGGTATTATGTATTCAATGAAACTGGCCTCTCCCTATGCTTCTTGCTACAATATATAAGTAAAGTACAAAACAAGCAACGGACATACACATAAAAGCAGTAATCGTTATAACCAATAAGATCATATACCATAGGAAAATTGTCAGACTATGAAATTGAAAGCGAAACATTTTTTTTTTCTCAAGAGTAGAAAGATAATTTATATAACGATTTAGTCACAGGAAGTAACAAGTGTTAATACTAGAAATTCCTTAACACTGTAACTAATCAGCTAATAGCTTTAACCTGTATAGATTCTTCAAATACAGGTTTCACCAATTTTTTGACATGGCAAGATAATTCATGTCAGGTTTAAGATCATATCATTATACACTATGTACAATCAGAATTTAAATAAACCTTTGACATTAAAATAATCACAATTTTTTTTTTATAAAGATTGATCAATCCTAATTAGTTGAATTATATCATGTCAAAAATAATATTATGTTTCCTCCCTTAAAAGTGTGATAATTTTTCACTATCAACCGTGGATCTTCTTTGGTCAATATTAGTCAACATTAGTCGTCGTAAAGCTATAGCTGTTAAAACATATCTAAGTTATGTGCACATGGCAAAGAAAGTGTGACAGTATTGTATTTTGTAAAAAGACACAGTATCTGAACGTGCAATGGCCGGATGCCGTTGTAAACCTTTATAAATCTTATAAGCATTTCGTGACCATTATATGCATATAATATATGTGTGTGTATGATTATGTGACAGCGAGAGTGTTCTACCCATCACACCTAAAGAAGGCACAGTAACTGAAATAAACTGTAAATGTCACAAGTGAAACTACACCTGTTTATTATGATAAGTTCTGTTTGATTTTTCTTACCAAATAACCAACTTACATTAATAATTCAAAATATATGTATATATATGTGTAGGTGGAATTTAAGTTCTTTGACTTTATCTCTGAGCTTACGTAGTTTGATGGAGCTTTTTCAATTGTGACATTTGGTCTCTTACAGGTTTCTTTGCATCCAATACTGACCAGAATAAATGTATTTCCAATAACAGTCATGACAAGGACTCCAAAGACCATGTGGCTGTCAATAAGACAAAATATCTGTTTTTGGTGCTGTGTTTGTATGTTAGTCCAGAAAAGTAAGTTTTTCCTGTATAAATATACATATATATTCCCTATTCCCGACAAAAACTTTCTACTGTAAATATTCAACTATTATTCGTATTATATAATTATGATTCATACAGAAATTACCACTTTAGGATATTTTTATTTTACACTGTGAATATTTTATTCTTCAGAATTCTAGTTTTCTTTCTATTGAACTTCGTTTATTAGATTTATGCTACTAACAAATTTAAATCGAAAAGGCAGGAATTCTTATCTATACAGATTTTGAAATATTATAGCAGGTACAATTAATTGTAATTTCGTTGCCGCAAAAACACACTTCACACTTTAGGGCCATGGGTGCGCTATAAGAGTTACGGTCAAATGACGCTGTTCGATTAACGTAGCTCAAGATTTGACGGTTGGTACTTTTGACTAAATTAATTTCTTCTAACCTGCCACTTAAAACTTAGGAACGGCTAGTGCAAAGATGGATCTCGTGTAGCTTTTGCGCGAAATTCAACAAACAACAAAAACTTTCATTGGTTCCAAAAAATATTTTCAAATATTTGTTATCTGATTACGACATTCGTACACATTAGTAAAAGACGTAGAATAAATATATTACATTTTGCCTGTTCTTCTCTGTTTTCGAACTGCTCTAGAAACATTTTATTGAATGGAGTTAGCAAGCACTGTCGATTCTACTTTTCAAATTAACCCTGTTATTAAAAGTGATTTCATAATACCAAGATTAGCTGATAGCTTATTACAAGACACATATGAAAACTATACAAATAAAGTGTTACGAAATTATTAAATAGAATTATCTTTGCACATTAATCAGAATGCAGTGTTATGTGAAGGAATTTATATCATATGCAACAGCTTTTGTATAAATTTTTTTTTCGAAATAAGCTAGAGTAAATAGAATGATATAGGTTTATCAATGGAAGTTAATAATTTTAAACTTATATTTTCCTTTAAAAGATTTAGGAGAAACAGAGCTGTCATTCAAGAGAGAACCGTCATCCACTATGGTCGAACCTGGTATGAATCGTGCTGTATTTCGCTGTTCTGTAGCTCCGCCTAGTGCTAAGATTAGCTGGATGTTAAATGGACAGTTTGTAGATAGTTCGGTAGAATATTTAAAATTCAAAGATAATGGGAAAAAACTGATAGTAGCTTTACCTATTGTCGACAAGTGGACTCATCAGTGGCTAGCCAAACAACAGTCGTCAGGAGAAGATTTGTTCCAATGTGTTGGTTCTTACGAAGGAAAGACTTTGGTCAGTCGACCCGCCAAACTTATAGTTCCAGGCAAGTTAACAAACTCAATAGACGTCACAATTGGAAGTCTAGTAACTATCAGTTCTATTTATTTTCCTTTTATTAACCAATTCAGAGACGTTGTTTCGAAAAAAACATGTTGAGTGTTACAGGACGTTTTTATTGCTTTATATTTGCTTTTTTCTTGGAAGATTTATGGTTAATAAAAACAAAAAGTAACAATATCTGAAGTTAATATTATTACATATTTCATAAATAACGTTTTTATCACTGCATTTCGTGAAAGTAAGCTTTTATGACAATGCTTTTTACGTATTTTAAGATGGTGTCATTTTGTTTTTCTAGAGTTACGTTCTTTTCCTCAACAAGACAATATCAGAGTTTCTGTTAAAACTGGCAATGTTGCTGTTATTCCCTGTGATCCTCCTCACGGTGTTCCTCGAGTTATAACTCAGTTTACTTTTAATAATAAGAAAATCGACAAATCGAAAGGTAAAAACACTATTTTACAAGCTCTCTCAGTATTTTTAAAATGAATAGATTCTTGTAACATTTTATTTTTGAAGAAAGGAAACTGGACTAATAGTAGCTAAAACAATATATATATAATTATTTTAATGAGGCATTAATTGCTCATATGTATATTTAAAATGAATTTAAATTGGCAGAAGATTACTTTACGATAAAGGCTGGTTGTTAAAAATTTTCATTCCGCTTATGACTTTCAACTAATCTCTAAAAGTCAAATTAATTATGTCGAACGTTACAGCATACACTGAAAAAGCGATGAGTTTTTACAATCTTCAAATTAATTGGTGTTACGTGAATTAATTATAGCAAATCTCTATAAGTTGGAAACTGAGATCATGTTGTTACGTATTAAAATTTCAAATAGCCTGAAATTGAGTTAATCGATAAATTTAAATTTAGTAGTTAAATTGTACTTTGGGTTTAGTATTTAAACATATGCCGATGTATCTCCAATTTATTATATCTGCAAACAAGATTGATGCATGCAGTTTTCTTTTTATAGTTTGTAACATACTAAAATCTAATTGTTCCTGAACTGAGTTTTACATAAAATACTGAAACAAGTACAACATACTAAATGAATATTTAAAATTCTAAACATTTTAATATACACACAAGAATACAATTTACAGTAACAATTATTACAAACAATGATTTATAAAAAAAAGTTTCACAAACAAGCAATATAAAGTCTTCTTTCTAGTCTAGAACTTCCTTGATACCTTATCGACGGTTCACGATGAGCGAGTTAATTACGAGTTGATGTAGGTACGATTCGTTAAACGGGAAGCTACCTAGCTTTGTCCTTCGTTATTTACCAGCCACACATGCCGAGTTTTCCACGATGAA